CAGGAAAAATTCCTATCTGCACCAGTGCTTCTAACAACTCAGCTTCAACTGTTCCTCTCTTAACACGTTTATCTACGGTAACCTTGAAATGCTCGGCTATTAACAGCAACTGATCCTTTGTGCAGTTACGCAAAGTATCCAACGTGGGCCCTCGAACAAACTCATCCAGGTCAAACTCCATGTCTACCCCTGGAATCAAGCCACACTAAATAAGGAACACCTCTGCACAAACAAAGCTACAGCACCACCAGAACCGAATGCTCTAATTAATCAGCGCAACGCGCGTCAGCTGCGCAAAAACACACAAACCCAGCACAACCGCCAACAAACAAGAACCAACCGTAGGACACGACCTGTCTCTAAAAGGCACACTTTGTTTAAACAAGCCCCCAAAAATATGTTACGCCCACCAAGGACACAACATATTTGAGGACACGAGACAAAAAATGAGGGTTCAAAAAAAGATATTTTATTAATAAATTCTCTCAGTTTTAGTCGTTCTTGGTTCGGCTTCTTCAGATTTTCTGCGAAGAGAAAAATAGTTAACGGCCCTCAAATCCCGTGCCCCAAAAAGTTAAAAAAAAGAAACCCAAAGTAACAACAGAAAGTTGGACCTGGCAGGCCGATCAAACAGAATAAAATGGTACAGCAGGGGGCCAACCCTATACAGGGCCGTCGAAGCCCCTACTGGTACCGGACTAAAGGCCAAAAATAACCTAAGCAAAAGAAAAATCGAAAACAGGACTACCGGTCCCGCCAGGCCAAAAACCTCAAGAAAAAGTAAGAAACGGTTAACAAAAATACCGCATGGCAGGCTGGAACGTCCGCTGCAGGCCGCAGCGACAAGACAAGTGCGCACCGCGCACGATGGAGCAAATGAAGCAGGTGGAAAGCGGCGTCCAAACGAAGTCGGAAAGGAACGCGCCAACGTGCTGAAAGCCAGCCTATTTATAGGCGGACGACAGCACCACAAATCAACGTAATTAACTCGCTAAAAGAATCCCAAAATATATTAACAAAAGATCCTTCAACTAAAGTCTGTAAGAAAACAAAGAAAAGAAATAGTCAAAAATCATAATGTGCCCGAAGCACATAACAACCTCCCTCAGAAGAACTTTATTATTTTTCATATACACTGTTTACAAGAAGTTTGGACTTTGGGTTTTTCTATTAATAAGGTCAGGTGTCAGGAGCCACTTCTGTTTGTCGGGGAGTGTGTGAGACCCTCACAAAGAGTGAAATAGTTTTTATTTTACTTGAAAATGAAAATGCATGTTAAAAGTATTTTAATGTACTGTAATGGCTATTCGCCAAATAATATCAGTAGAAATCCGCTGTAGATCGCTAGGATGAGAAACGGAACCTTTCTGTCACAGCCCGTGTTTCCAGGTGCTCCCTCCCCTCAGAGGAGTTTTGGGAACGAAAGAGAATGGTTCGTTGTTCTTGATCCTGTGATCATTCACTCTGTTTTTCAGAACCCAAAGCCAGCGAGACACTGAAGACTCATCTTTTCTTTTTTTTCAATATTGTGACGTGGTACCCGGCCCAGCTTGGGACCCGGGGACAGCTTTAGCCGGGGACAGGTGGTCCAAAACGGGGACAGTCCCCGGAAATCGGGGACTTCTGGTCACCCTAGTGGATTCCCACGACTAAGCAAAGGATGGCAGATTTTCAACTACGTGACTACCAGAAGGAAGTGGTGGAAAAGGCACTGAGGGGAGAAAATGTCATAATTTGGCTCCCAACAGGAGGTGAGAAGACCCGAGCCGCTGTCTATGTGGCCAGAAGGCATCTGGATACCACACCAAATGGCAAAGTCATGGTGCTGGTGAACAAGGTTCACCTTGTAGACCAACACTACACCAAAGAGTTTAGGCCTATTCTGGGTGAAGATTTTAAACTGATGAAGGTCAGCGGTGAGAGTGACGAGAAGGATTTCTTCGGGATAGTGGTGCAGGCCAATGATGTGGTCATCTGCACAGCACAGATCCTGTATAACGCTCTGATCAACAAGGAGGAAGCAAAACACACAGAGCTCTCAGATATCACTTGTTGAGATATATTACCAACATGGAACTAAATCAGTGGGCTGAATCATCTCCGTTGCCACCTGAACTACCCCCTTTGTTCTTGTCCACAATGGAACTACCCCCACGTTACTCACAGTACGGACCAATCAGCCGATGCGCAGACAGGAAGTGCCCGCACGTCATTCATGGGTTAAAAAGCGCAGCGCGAAAATAATCTCTCTCTTTTTCCATGGGTTTGCAGCCCGTCAGGAGAGGCCCATTTCACGTGAAATATCAGAAGAAAGCTGACTGGAAGTAGCTTTCGTTTTCCTGCATCGAAAGTCACGGATCGCAGTGTTCCATCGTGCATAGCAACCGCGCTGACTGGGAGATAGAAAGCCTTTGAAGCTGACCGCGGAGTTTCGTTCTCCCCTTCCTTGGAGGAATCGGCTGAGAGGACGCTCTTTTGCCGATCACCTCCTAAGATCACCTCCTGAAATCCCTCCTTTCCAACTCGTGAGCAGATCAACCCCTCTGCTGCGGCCCGAGCTGACTGAACTTTCCCGAGGGGCGGACCGGTGGCAGAGAACCTCTGCCCGACAGAAACCAAACTGCGGTTGCCGTGGAAACGCCAACCTCCCTCGGACGACGCATCTCACAGTAAAATCAATTTACTTTCCTTTTGATGCATCAGAATTGCTGTGCTCAGGCGAGAGAAAGGCAGTTTAGGGTTTTGAATTAATGCTGATGTTCTTTTTTTTATCTGTGCTGATTAAGGGTTTGTTTATTTGGTTAAAATAAGTGTGTGCTTTTTCTTTCTTTCTTGGCTTTTCCTGTCCTCTTCGTTGTTTCTGCTTTGAGATAGAGATAAAGTTATCACATTCAGCCACGTGGGGTCCCGTGGTCGCCGCCATCTTGATCACAGGTCGCCCCCCCCCCCCCCATTTCTCGTTGTTCCCCTCACCGCGTGGAGAACAAAGGGGGGTGGTCCCCATTTAGCCACAACCATTCACACACATCACTACATTGCCAGGCAAAAAGGGGTTTTTGATGAACGCTGCTATTGTTAATACATGTTCAATAATTTACCAATACTAAGCTGGATGTATTAATGTTCATGATCGATTGCACTGCTATCATTACACCTGCTGCTTGTTAATGCATTTAATCATTTGCTGATTTTAAGTTGGATGTATTAGTTTACACTGATCAATTGCACTATACCTGCTGCTAGCGGACATTAATGAATGTATTAATATCTGGCATATTTTGGACAATTTCAGACGCCAGTAATAGTTATTTCGTTGTTTCTATCTCGTTTAATTCTTTATTTTCGATTTTTCTTTTATTTTTTCTTTTGAACTAGTCATTTAATCTACCTCGTGTTTATTTTTCTGGTAGTGTGTAGTGTTTGCATAGATGTTAGATTTCTGTAATCCTGAATTATTAGAATAAAGACATCATTGGTTAATCTGTAGTGGTTTTGGTCGTTCATATAACGGAGGGTTTATCACTCAGCGCAAACCCACCCCCTTTTGGTAATAGTGCGAATAAACAGAGATAGAAGGTTCTTTATTGATAATTTAATAGCTTTGCTGATAACTTAACCGGGGCCACTAGACTGGTGGATACCTGGATTTTAACAGCCGGTCCTGGAACCCTCCAGTTGTGGATCAACAACCGGTAAGTAGATAACTCAGGGCTATAGTTATCCACCTAAGAACACTAAATTGATTTTGCCTTCGATGTTGAATAGGATAATAATTAACTATAACTCCAGTTCTAGTTAACCATCTATTCATTATCTGCAGGACATTATTTTTGCACAACACACTCTACTGATAATCGATGAGTGTCATCATACCCACAAGGAGTCAGTCTACAACAAAATAATGAGACTATGTGGAGAAAAAGCTGAAAGGACAGCGGCCATTACCACAGATCCTGGGTCTCACAGCATCACCTGGAACAGGAGGTAAAAAGGTGCTGGGGGATGCTGTAAAACATGTCCTGGAGATCTGTGCTAACTTAGACTCAGTTATTGTCTCGACTAAAAACCATATCCCTGAGCTAAAGGAGAGGGTACCACGGCCAAAAAAGACCTTTGACATTGTGGAGAAAAGAGTGGCAGACCCACTTGGAGATCATATTAAGTGGATGATGCAGATAATCCACGAATTCATGAATCTTCCCTCTGATGTGAGGCTCAGAGAATGCGGGACACAAGAATATGAGGCGTATGTGGTGGTTCTGGAGCAACAAGGAGTCAGAGAGAACAACAGACTCTTGGCACAATGTGCACTCCATCTCAGGCAGTATAATGATGCCCTGCTCATCAATGATACTCTGAGAATGATGGATGCATATCGCTCTCTGGAGAATTTCTACAACACAAAGTACACCACGGCTATTGATGGAACCGACTTCTTCCTGGTGGGGCATTTTCAAGAGAATGAGGTGGAGTTAAAAAAGTTTGCCACAGATCCTCACTTTGAGAACCCGAAAATGGCAAAACTTGAGAGCACTCTGGTAAGCCAGTTCGGCCCAGATGTCCAGTCTAGGGGAATTCTCTTTTCCAGAACTCGCAAGAGCACTCACTGCCTCCTTGACTGGGTCATTGAAAACAAAACCTTGCAGAGAGCTAAGAGACGTTCAGAACAGACATGGAGTCCAAACATAAGTGACTCTGAGGAAGAGGATGGAGTCTATCGCTACTGGCTGCGGATACCTGCAGAGAACTCCCAGACCAGCCACCACGTACCAGATCAAAGTGTGACTCAAGGGCCACAGAGAAAGGAGGAACAGAATGGAAACTACCAGGATAAGAGAGTCCTTGCTGAACCTGGACGGGAGAGAGAAAGTGTTACAGAAGAGGATCAGGAGGTATTCAGTGAGGCTGAACAGGTCGTGGGACAGCCTCAGCCACATGACGACCCAGCAATAGTCCCACTCGAAGCAGTCAACTTGGAGGAAGACATCCCAGGGCCTCAACCTGACCGACAGCCCCCTCTGAGACAATCTACCAGGGTGAGACGGCCTGGCTATGTGTTTACCTACCCCTCCCTGGGCCAACCAGCCTACCAGCCCCGTCCCACTGTGAATACAGTTAGAATCCAGCCGATACAGTGGCCCCAGTTGTACTACCCCTACCCCCTTCCCTTTCTACCCCCTATGGCCCCCTCCATCACACACTACCCATTTCCACCCATTCATTGTTTCTGAACTGAGACACACAGAAGATACGCATACTTCCCAGGCACGCACGCATACTCATATACACTCCAGAAGTGCCATGGACTACACACAGTAGAGACATTCGGTACCTCTGTTACGCCCACCAAGGACACAACATATTTGAGGACACGAGACAAAAAATGAGGGTTCAAAAAAAGATATTTTATTAATAAATTCTCTCAGTTTTAGTCGTTCTTGGTTCGGCTTCTTCAGATTTTCTGTGAAGAGAAAAATAGTTAACGGCCCTCAAATCCCGTGCCCCAAAAAGTAAAAAAAAAGAAACCCAAAGTAACAAAAGAAAGTTGGACCTGGCAGGCCGATCAAACAGAATAAAACGGTACAGCAGGGGGCCAACCCTATACAGGGCCGTCGAAGCCCCTACTGGTACCGGACTAAAGGCCAAAAATAACCTAAGCAAAAGAAAAATCGAAAACAGGACTACCGGTCCCGCCAGGCCAAAAACCTCAAGAAAAAGTAAGAAACAGTTAACAAAAATACCGCATGGCAGGCTGGAACGTCCGCTGCAGGCCGCAGCGACAAGACAAGTGCGCACCGCGCACGATGGAGCAAATGAAGCAGGTGGAAAGCGGCGTCCAAACGAAGTCGGAAAGGAACGCGCCAACGTGCTGAAAGCCAGCCTATTTATAGGCGGACGACAGCACCACAAATCAACGTAATTAACTCGCTAAAAGAATCCCAAAATATATTAACAAAAGATCCTTCAACTAAAGTCTGTAAGAAAACAAAGAAAAGAAATAGTCAAAAATCATAATGTGCCCGAAGCACATAACACCCCCACCCAAAGACTCTGAATGGGGTCTGAAGTAAAAAAAAACTCAACCCATTCAGAGAAAAAAAAAAAAACGGGACTAGAGACGCGAGAGTGCGTCGGCCACTACGTTGTCTTTACCACGAACATGCTGTATAGAGATGTTAAAGGATTGGAGTCGCAAAGACCAGTTCATCAAGCGGCGGTTTTTATTCCGCATGCGAGCCAGAAAAACTAACGGATTATGGTCCGTAAAAACAACCACAGATCCGCTAGAACCTCCAACATACACCTCAAAATGTTCTAAAGCAAGGATCAACGCTAATGCCTCCTTCTCAATGGTGGAATACCATCTCTGATACTTATCCAGTTTCTTAGAAAAATAAGAAACCGGATGTTCCACCCCATCAGTACCATCCTGGAGCAGGACAGCTCCGACACCAGAATCACAAGCGTCCACAGCCAACTTAAATGGTACATCAAAACGAGGGGCAGACAACACAGGAGCATTAACCAGCAAACGCTTAGTTTGCTCAAAAGCAGATTGACACCGATCAGACCAAATAAAAGCCACTTTAGGGCTAAGTAGGTCTGTCAACGGGGCAGCTACAGAGGAAAAGTTTTTACAAAACCCCCTGTAGTAGCCAACCATCGCCAGATAGCGGCGTAGCTCAGTACGAGTGGTGGGTACTGGGACAGATAGAATAGCCTCTACTTTAGCCTCAACGGGGCGCACTTGACCTCCCCCCACCCTTTTTCCAAGATAGGTCACCGTCGCGTGGCCGAATTGGCATTTAGAAAGATTAACGCATACTTCCCAGGCACGCACGCATACTCATATACACTCCAGAAGTGCCATGGACTACACACAGTAGAGACATTCGGTACCTCCCTCAGAAGAACTTTATTATTTTTCATCTACACTGTTTACAAGAAGTTTGGACTTTGGGTGTTTCTATTAATAAGGTCAGGTGTCAGGAGCCACTTCTGTTTGTCGGGGAGTGTGTGAGACCCTCACAAAGAGTGAAATAGTTTTTATTTTACTTGAAAATGAAAATGCATGTTAAAAGTATTTTAATGTATATGAAAACAACGTGGGCTACATTAATAATTGGCAATCCTTTTGGGGAAAGCCTGGTCTGATTCGGAGAGACGGCATCCATCCCACTTTGGATGGTGCAGCTCTTCTTTCTAGGAATCTGGCCACATTTATTAGTCCTCCAAAACCCTGACCACCCAGGGTGCAGACCAGGAAGCAGAGTTGTAGTTTAACACACATCTCTGCAGCTTCTCTACTGTTACCCACTCTTTACTCCATCCAGACAGTGTCTTGCCCACGACCAAAATCTAATAAATTAGCAAAGATTCCCAAAGGAGTAAATCATGATAATCTAATTAAAATCAAAATAACTCCAATTGGGGAAAAAGTTAAAACAATTAAATGCGGTCTGTTTAACATAAGATCGCTTTCCTCTAAAAGTCTACTAGTTAATGACTTGATTTGTGATAATCACATTGACTTGTTTTGCCTTACAGAAACCTGGCTGCAGCAAGAGGATTATGTGAGCATAAATGAGGCAACTCCTTCAAGCTATTTAAATTTTCACATCCCCAGAAGTTCTGGGCGAGGAGGAGGAGTAGCAACAATCTTCGAGTCTGACTTACTGATTACTCCCAAAACAATTAATTCCTACAACTCTTTTGAACATTTAACCTTTAATTTCCCTGATCCAAATTTCAAGGCAAGAAAACCTCTTCTTTTTGTAACTTTGTATCGTCCACCAGGTCCTTACTCTGAATTTTTAGATGAGTTTTCAGAGTTCCTTTCTGATTTGGTATTAAATACTGACAGGGTCATCATAGTGGGAGATTTTAACATCCATGCTGACATTGAAGGCGATAGCTTAAGAGCAGCCTTTAATGCTATCTTAGACACTATTGGCTTTGTTCAAAATGTGAATAGTCCCACGCATTCTCATCTTCATACTTTGGATCTTGTGCTGACATACGGCATAGAATGTGAAGAAATAACAGTATTTCCTCACAACCCTGTCCTCTCTGACCACTTTCTAATAACCTTCAGGATTACTTTAACAGAGTTCTCCTCCCCCAAAAGAAGGTTCAATTTTAGTAGATCTTTATCAGATAGTGCAGTTATAAATTTTAAAGAATCTGCTTCACTTTCTCTCTGCTCTGTGTCACTGAGCAGTGCTGCAGAGTGCAAAAGCTTAGCTTATTCCCCTTCACAGGTTGATGATTTTGTTGAGGGGGTTGCTAGTTCTCTGCGTATTGCCTTAGACAACGCAGCTCCTTTGAAAATGAAAACCGTTAAAAATAGAAAGCTTGCTCCTTGGTTTAATGCAGAGCTGCGTACTTTGAAGCAAAATGCTAGGAAACTGGAGAGAAAATATCGCTCCACAGGCCTGCGAGAGTCCTTCCTAGTCTGGAAAAATGGTTTACTGCTGTATAAGAGGACCCTTTGTAAAGCAAGAGCAGCATACTTCTCCTCATTAATAGAGGAGAATAAGAATAATCCTAGATTTCTTTTTAATACAGTTGCCAAACTCACCCAGAGCCATAGCTCTGTTGAACCGTCCATTCCACCTGCTCTTAGCAGCAATGATTTTATGGGATTCTTTATAAATAAGATTGATCTTATTAAAAATAAGATCATAAGCACTCCTCTATCCGCGATTGTACCTGAGGTAGTCATGGAATCTGAACCGGGTTTAGACTGCTTTGATCCAGTTGAACTCTCTGAATTAGCAAAATTATTGTCTTCATCTAAGCCTTCAACTTTTATGTTAGATCCAGTTCCAACCAGGTTATTTAAGGAGGTATTCCCTTTGATCTCCTCCTCCATTTTAGACGTGATTAATCTATCTCTGTTACAGGGATATGTACCTAAAGCTTTTAAGATTGCTGTAATTAAACCTCTGCTTAAGAAACCGTCTCTTGACCCAGATGACTTGGTCAATTATAGACCTATATCCAATCTTCCTTTCTTATCCCAAATTCTTGAGAAAGTAGGTGCCAAACAAGTCTGCGATCACTTCCACCATAATGAACTTTTTGAAGAGTTTCAGTCTGGCTTTAGAGCTCATCATAGCACTGAAACAGCTCTGGTGAAAGTCACTAATGATATTCTCATGGCCTCAGATAATGGACTTGTATCTGGGCTCGTCCTGTTGGATCTTAGTGCTGCATTTGATACAGTTGACCATAATATTCTTTTAGAAAGACTTGAATATTTTGTTGGAATTAAAGGAACAGCACTAGACTGGTTTAAATCTTATCTATCTGATCGAATTCAGTTTGTTCATGTTAATGATAGATCTTCAACACGCTCAAAGGTTACCTGTGGAGTACCACAGGGATCAGTGCTAGGACCAATTCTCTTTACTTTATACATGCTCCCAATTGGTAGAATTATTAGACAGCATGGGATTAATTTCCACTGTTATGCTGATGATACCCAGCTATATCTGTCTATAAATCCAGATGAAGCTAACCCATTACATAGATTACAGGCATGTCTTGAAGACATAAAAACCTGGATGACTTTCTGCTTCTGAATGCAGACAAAACAGAAGTTATAGTCTTTGGACCAGAGTCTCTGAAAAAGAAACTGATTAGCCAGTCACTTCATTTGGATGGGATTAAACTGATTTCAGATAATAAAGTAAAAAATCTTGGTGTTATTTTTGATCAGGACCTGTCATTTAAATCCCATATCAAAGAGGTTTCTAGAATTTCCTTCTTTCATCTGAGGAACATTGCAAAAATTAGAAATATCCTGTCCATGGGTGATGCTGAGAAACTAGTCCATGCATTTGTTACTTCAAGGCTGGACTATTGTAATTCTTTACTATCAGGAAGTCCACAAACTGTAGTTAAAAGCCTTCAGCTGATCCAAAAGTTTATTTATATAGCGCCAAATTCACAACACATGTCATTGGGATTGTATTTGAGTCAATGAGTCAATGCAATCAACTGGTTTTCCTTAGATAGAAAACTTTGTATCAATTTGACTGTATGATCTGGTTGAACTGTAAAGTGCCTTGAGATGACATGTGTTGTGAATTTGGCGCTATATAAATAAACTGAATTGAATTGAATTGAATCTCAAGGCACTTTACAGTTCAACCAGATCATACAGTCAAATTGATACAAAGTTTTCTATCTAAGGAAAACCAGTTGATTGCATTGACTCATTGACTCAAATACAATCCCCCACACTAAGCATGCTTGTAGCGACAGTGGAGAGGAAAAACTCCCTTTTAACAGGAAGAAACCTCCAGCAGAACCAGGCTCAGTGTGAGCGGCCATCTGCCGAGGCCGACTGGGGTTCAAGGAGACAGAAGCAGAGATACAAAAAGCAGCTGTAAAAGGCGGCCCCGTCCAGGAAACACACAGCCAGGCAGACGAGCTCCAAGGCAGCTCCCATGCCAGAGGACGAAGAGAGCACATCCACTCAGTCACGGTCAGAGAAACAGGACCACACTGGAAAACCGGCCGATCTCCAACATCTATAAACAAGGGTGTTGATAGAAGCAGCACAGCTGATGTTTCTTTCCAGGATGACGTCACAGCCAAACAGGAACAGACGAGGCAAAGCTACTCTGAGGAAAAGCAGAGAGAGCAGAAGGTTAGAGATTGAACTAACAGATTCTGCAGAATAGGAGAACAGAGAGAGAATGAAGCAGAATGATGAAATGGGGGTCCCTATGTCCTCCAAAAGTCTAAGCCTATAGCAGCATAACTATAGAGATAGCTCAGGATAACCTGAGCCACCCTAACTATAGGCTTTATCAAAAATGAAAGTTTTAAGCCTAGCCTTAAAAGTAGACAGGGTGTCTGCCTCACGGACTAAAACTGGTAGTTGGTTCCACAGGAGAGGAGCCTGATAACTAAAAGATCTGCCTCCCATTCTACTTTTAGAAATTCTAGGAACGATTAGTAAACCTGCAGATTGAGAGCGAAGTGCTCTGTTAGGAACATAAGGAACAATCAGATCTCTGATATAATATGGAGCTTGGCCATTTAAGGCTTTATATGTGAGAAGGAGGATTTTAAATTCTATTCTTGATTTAACAGGAAGCCAATGAAGAGAAGCCAGGATAGGAGAGATATGATCTCTCTTTTTAATTTTCATTAGAACTCTGGCTGCAGCATTTTGGATCAGCTGAAGGCTTTTAACTACAGTTTGTGGACTTCCTGATAGCAAAGAATTACAATAGTCCAGCCTTGAAGTAACAAATGCATGGACTAGTTTCTTAGCATCACCCCTGGACAGGATATTTCTAATTTTTGTAATGTTCCTCAGATGAAAGAAGGAAATTCTAGAAACCTCTTTGATGTGGGATTTAAATGACAGGTCCTGATCAAAAATAACACCAAGATTTTTTACTTTATTATCTGAAATCAGTTTAATCCCATCCAAATGAAGTGACTGGCTAATCAGTTTCTTTTTCAGAGACTCTGGTCCAAAGACTATAACTTCTGTTTTGTCTGCATTCAGGAGCAGAAAGTTAAGAGTCATCCAGGTTTTTATGTCTTCAAGACATGCCTGTAATCTATGTAATGGGTTAGCTTCATCTGGATTTATAGACAGATATAGCTGGGTATCATCAGCGTAACAGTGGAAATTAATCCCATGCTGTCTAATAATTCTACCAATTGGGAGCATGTATAAAGTAAAGAGAATTGGTCCTAGCACTGATCCCTGTGGTACTCCACAGGTAACCTTTGAGCGTGTTGAAGATCTATCATTAACATGAACAAACTGAATTCGATCAGATAGATAAGATTTAAACCAGTCTAGTGCTGTTCCTTTAATTCCAACAAAATATTCAAGTCTTTCTAAAAGAATATTATGGTCAACTGTATCAAATGCAGCACTAAGATCCAACAGGACGAGCACAGATACAAGTCCATTATCTGAGGCCATGAGAATATCATTAGTGACTTTCACCAGAGCTGTTTCAGTGCTATGATGAGCTCTAAAGCCAGACTGAAACTCTTCAAAAAGTTCATTATGGTGGAAGTGATCGCAAACTTGTTTGGCAACTACTTTCTCAAGAATTTTGGATAAGAAAGGAAGATTGGATATAGGTCTATAATTGACCAAGTCATCTGGGTCAAGAGACGGTTTCTTAAGCAGAGGTTTAATTACAGCAACCTTAAAAGCTTTAGGTACATATCCCTGTAACAGAGATAGATTAATCACATCTAAAATGGAGGAGGAGATCAAAGGGAATACCTCCTTAAATAACCTGGTTGGAACTGGATCTAACATACAAGTTGAAGGCTTAGATGAAGACAATAATTTTGCTAATTCAGAGAGTTCAACTGGATCAAAGCAGTCTAAACCCGGTTCAGATTCCATGACTACCTCAGGTACAATCGCGGATAGAGGAGTGCTTATGATCTTATTTTTAATAAGATCAATCTTATTTATAAAGAATCCCATAAAATCATTGCTGCTAAGAGCAGGTGGAATATAACAATAGCTTTATGGTTATACTTTATGTTTGTGTTCTATGGGAACAGAACAAACAACATTACATACTTACCTGTTTAATGGACACTGCACATTCACTTACATTCACACATATCATACTTACCTGACAGTAACACACACTCACCTACTTACCTGAAACATACACTACCTGAATAAAAGGGAATAAGAACTGTATACACGTTCGTATGCACATTGTACCTGGAAGAAGACACTGAAAGAGACACTATTGCACTATTGCAGATTTAGAGATTCTGGATCCAGAGACTTTGAACGATTACCACCCATTGGCTGCATACCAAGTTGCTAGAACTTTGATGGTGACCCCAAGGACTTGGCTACTGCAGTAACTTGAAATGGTAAGCACCTTTTCATAATTTTATCATGTGTTGATGACTTTTTAAGTGTTCAAGATACAAGTCATGGTCAAAAGTATTAGCACCCCTCCAGATGTGTTGGTTTTCGAGCAAAACTTTTGAAGGTGTTTTTTATGGAATAACCAAACTAAGATAATTTCAATAGGTCAACAGAACTGTAATAACAATTGGTTGCCTCAAATTCAACACAATATATCACCAAAATGCTGTGTGAAGTGAATGCTGCATGGTCGAAAGTATTGGCACTCTCAATTGTCTCTTTGCAGTGTCTTTTGCCGTGATAAAGCAGACTTTTCATTGTTAAAATCTACAGCTAAGGTTATGTGTTGTCAGACGTCAGCTGTGGTAGCGTTCCTGAGAAGTATAAGCCCATTTCTAAAGGATAATAACCTCAATTCTACTTGAAGAAAACCTCATACTGTGTATATAAACCAACAGAGATGTATAGTGAATAAACCAGAGATTTTTGTCCATTGGAAATGGGCTTATATTTCTCAGGGGTGCTACCACAGCTGATGTCTGACTACCCATAATGTTAGCGCTGGATTTTAACAATGAAAAGTCTGCAAAAGACACTTGTTGTGGTACATGCCAAAACTTTTGACTGTGCAGTATTCACTTCCCGCAGTATTTCGGTGATATTTTGTGTACATTTTGGGAAACCAATTCTTTCAGTTGAATTGAGCTATGTTATTTTTTTTATCAAAAAACCTTCAAAAGTGTGCAAATTGAGCTTAAAAACCAACACTTCCAATACTTTTGGCCATGATTGTATGGTTTCAGTTTGAAGAGTCATGCAAATATCTGTTCTACTTTTGTCCTCACAGGCTTTGTTGCCTCTGGTCCACATAAATCCCAAACTCGTCCGTAAGATTCGGCTGACCAAAGCTCCTGAAACTATAGAGGAACTGTACAATGAACTGCGTCAAAAACTTGAACTTGTGGGTGAATTCTGTATACAGTATGAAGACTCTGACTTTGCCCAGGCAGTTTGCAACCTGATTGACATAGCAGACTTACCTTCAGAAAAGGCTGTCTTGCATATTCTGTGGAGCAATGAGAACCTGTCATCACCATCACCACCACCTCCAACACCAACTCGGTCGTCCTCCATCTCTTCCCTTGACACAGCCAGCATTGGATCTCCAGACTCAATCCACAGCTTATCTTCAGTTGTGCGAACATATAGGAGGAACGTTTCACAGTGGCCCACTCCGTTCCCGATACCAGAATTCTCATATGATGTTGAACTGATACTCCGCAAGGGGAATGAAACGTTTGAAATGTTAGGGAAGAGTTTACATGTAACCAGAGATGTGAAAACACAGATTCCGGACAAGTTGGCACAAGAAATATTTACTGTGAAAGCCTACCCTGACAAGCATGAGTTTGAGTCTGTTGCTGCTGAACTTGTCAACAAACATCCCTGCCTCAAAGAGCCTGGTGGTGGTACTGGATATGCGGGATGGACAATCAGCATAAAGTACAAGATGGAGAACTACAGAACAAAACTACGTCAAGCTGGTTGTAATGAGGTTGGTATCAACAGGAGAACAAGAAGGGAGGTGGTGGATGATCATGGTGTCAACAGGCGAAGAAGAGATGACGATGGGGATGATGATCCAGAGGGAAGGTTTTCCTTGAAAAAACCAAAGCGAGGTGAGGTCAAACATGTACCAGATCATCCTGAAAGCTACACTCGGGATGACTTGGAAGACCTGAGGTCTTCCCTGGTTGAAGCCATGAACAAGAAAAACAAGGACATGGAGTTCATCAGCCAGAAGATGGACATCACATTCTCCTTTAGGAGAATGGAGATTGTAGAGATGGAACCCATGGTCTCAGAAGTTCTGGAGAGGTGGCCTGGTCTATTTCTTGAAGAACAGGTAAGGCATCTTTTTTTTCTTGAATTTGATGCATTTGTTTACATTTGTGTTATGGCTTTTCCATTATAGTATCATGGCTGAGAGTTTGTAGTCTTAATTATAAAAATGAAAACACACAATCATCTTGTTGTATTTGTATTGCATTTGTTTCATTCAGATTTGTCAAGAGTTCATTCGTGTGACCACCAAGGACCTGATGGGAACATTTAAAACTGCCCTTGAGATGTTCACCCCTCGTCTGCTGAAATTGTATCGTGCCAGGAAGGGCGCCTTTAGTCGAGAGATGGAAACCCTTTTGGAAATGCTTGACAAACAGGTTGTTATATTGACTACAATGCCTTTTGTTCAGTTTGTCCACTAATATTTAAACCATTAATCAAGAAGAATTATTTTGCATCAGCTACATTGGTGAGAGTTCCATGTTGATTGACTATTTGATACATTAATATTTAAAGGATACGTTCACTTTTCTCGGTTGATGAAATATTGTGTTTGACACAGTAATTTTAAGTTTTGGTCAAGCCTCAAGCTTTTGGCTGATTAAGCCATGCCATGTTTCAGGATGGCTAGCTGCAGGCATTCACAAATCTGTCCTTAAATCAACCCAAACATTTGTTTTCAAAGACGTGCAACTCACCGAGCGGTTAGTGGTGTTCGTTGTGGGTTCGTCAAACACTCTGTTTCATCCAAGACAACCAAGAAAGTGGGCTCAAAATGCAAAATAGTCAACTTATCCTTAAAAGAAAAAAAGAAACACTAACAAACCAACAAATCCTGCAACTATTTTATCTGCCTACGTGCGCAATTGTAGATATGGGAATACAAATGGAAAACGTACAAGCACATGTGAACATGCACAAGTGTATTTCACAGAGCTAAACAAAAGTATTTATTTATCTTCCAAAACAGACATCCGACATCACAAGTCATCGCAGACAGACAGCTGTGGAAGGTCTTCCCATATTTCTACGGGAGAATACTGAGAAGCTTTTCTGTAGATGCCTGGTGAGTGCAGCTTGGAAGACCTTCAGTTTTTAGGAATGTGTTATATAGCAAAGAGGCCATACACAAATAGACATCTACGGAAGAGGATTAGGGCCACTGAAAAAAAAAAAAGTTAACAGATATTTTTTTTTCTTTTATTTCAGTATAGTATGGGGAAAAAAGTCAGAATTCTGACTTTTTTACTCAGAATTCTGACTTTTTTCTCAGAATTCTGAGATTAAAGTCAGAATTCTGACTTTTTTCTCAGAATTCTGACTTTAATCTCAGAATTCTGACTTTAATCTCAGAATTTTTTTTTTCCAACATTATCTTTATTATGTAGCACTTTTAACCTAAATGTAAGAAAGAAACCACATTCTCTAGGTTCAGAAAGTTAGACTCTGAGTGGAAGTTGAACAATGATTATTTATTGCACCAAACAGGTATTATAACTTCTTTTTATACCGTATTTTCACGACCATAAGGCACACCGTACTAAAAGGCGCACTCTCAGTTATGTGTCCCATTTCTGTATTTAACACACACATAAGGCGCACCGGACTATAGGGCGCGTTTTTTATATACAGGTAACATGTCCTCTACTACCTTTAAATACCTCTACTGCGTATTTAAAAATACAGCGGGGGCAAAACTGAGTATGACTGTGCTTTATTCATGTATTTATTACAAAGTATTAATCAAACCTGGCAGCTGGCCATGAGACAGACACATCGCAGATGACACAGCGCTGTGATCACTCCTAAATTAACTTAAAATCCTGAAACCTGCCGACGGAATATGTTCGCTTTTATGGGTGCCTGCAGTTTAAATATTTAGATGAAAAACACCTGCCAGCAGCCGCGGTGAGGCTGCTGTTGAAAGGATTTCTGCTGTCGGTGCACCGCTGGTATGTGGGGGTCTGAGCGGCTCCGACAGAAATAGATAATCTGGATGAACTGACTGCAATTATGAAGTTTTCAGGTGGACTTTCTCACTTAAAAACATATTAAAACTACTTTATTCCCACTGATCACAGCAAATATAGCTGCAAGATTTAGATTATTTAGATGAAAAAACACCTGCCAGCCACCGCGCTGAAGAGGAGGAGACCCGCCCAGAGGCTGCTGTTGAATTAAGTTTTCAGGGAGAAAAATAGAGCGGGAGCAAAACTGAGTATGATTGTGCTTTATTCATGTATTTATTACAAAGTATTAATCGAACCCATCAAAGTCATCATCCTCTGTTTCTGAATTAAACAGCTGCGCTAAATCAGACATGCCAGTTTCCCCTTCTTCGCTGTCAGAGTCACTTTCCGTGCAGCGCAGCTCCTCAGAAATAATGCCGGCTTTTGCAAAAGCTTGTACAACAGAGCCAGCAGACACGTTAGTCCAAGCATCAACAATCCATCCGCAAACGGTGGCGTAACTTGCCCGGCGCTGCCTTCCACTTATCCTGAAACTGTGGTCTCAGTCAGTCATCCATCGCTCCCACGCCGCTCGCAGCCTTACTTTGAACGGCCGCTCCACACCGATGTCGAGCGGTTGAAGCTCCTTTGTCAGACCCCCGAGATAACGGCGAGCACAGCGTTCATTTGATTCATCTTTTTTTCACATCGGCTGTGAGATGGGCACGCAGCGATGGTGATGCGTGGAAAAAAACACCTGTTCTCCTCACATACACCTCCCTCATCTATCCAGCCTTTTTCATTTAATATCATATGTCATCAGAGCGCTGTGTCTGTCTCGCTGTCAGCTCCCAGATCAGCTTCTCTGATTGGTTGATGCGGCGCGTCCAGCAGCAAAACTTCAATTTTTCCATCTCGAGCAGCAGCAGCGCGTTGGCGGTGCGTCAGATGCTTAAACGCTCCCGACGTGCTGCACCAAAACGCGCTGCGGGACCTTTTGCTGCACCTATACGCGCGTCAACCATTGACTTTGCATGTAAACTCGCTGCTTCTGCTGCACCTGCTGCGTTCGGTTCACACCGATGTCGAGCGGTTGAACAGCGAGCACAGGGTTAATTTGTTTCCCCATGTTTTTCACATCAGCTGTGAGATGGGCACGCATGGAGTTACATATTAACAGCGATGGTGATGAGTGGAAAAAAAACACCTGGTCTCCTTACATTCAGCCACTCTTTCATCATCTCCTCAATGAGGTGGTCTCAAAAGTCGCAGTTACAACACACATAGGGCGCACCGCACCATAGGGCGCACCGCACATTTTGAGGGGAAAAAAAAGACGTTTAAGTGCGCCTTATAGTCGTGAAAATACGGTACAAAGAATTAGGGGGAAAAAACCCCAACAAAATAGAGCTCTTTGATAACAAAACAAAAATAGAAAAAAAAGTTCAAATAAAAGTGTCCTTTTCTTCTGTGTCAGAAGAAAAAGCTTAGATCCTTGTGGTGTGTGTGTGTGTGTCTGTTTATATATTCTTCTACTACCCGGGTAGTTTTTTTTAAATTGTTTCTATTGAGCGCGCTTATCTGTATCAGAGAAGTTGGTAGATTTCTGTAGTCCTCGTGGAGTGGATCCCATTCTCCGCTTCCTGTCGCTTGGCTCGCCACTGAACCACAGAAGGTTCAGAATTCATGCAGATCGACTCCTGATCCAGCAGAAAAATAAAACCAATCTACACACAGGGTGTAGAAAGATACTTCTATTAATACTATGTTCATCTACTACTCTTACTCTGATTCTCTGCATTGTCATAGCCAATTAATTGTAAATATTGGTCTACAACATAAGTAGTGTTATGTTAACACAATTAAACATTAAGAACTTTTATTCTTAACATAAATGAACTTCTTCCTCTTTTTTAAAGCAGTATTTATATCAATACCCAGCCTTTAAATCAATATTTATTTTTTTTACTAAATCTTTATGAGTTTGAACAACCACAATGAAATAGATAGCATTATGTACACAAATAAGTACATTAGAACAATTTCTTACATCTCACTATCACATTTATCTCTCTCTCTTTGTCTAATGACATAGTAGCAGAGGAGGCTACCTGTGCTAGCATAGCAGCTACCCGCGATTAGCGTTAGCACGCTAATTAGCTATCTCTTTAGTTATTATTTCACCTAACAAAATGATACACAGTACAATGGTGGGTCACACATTGGATAAAAAAAACTCCGACTGGTTTTATGGAACTGTCTCAGCAACAACATCTTCACATGTCCTAACTCCAACAAGCTAATAACCGAAACCTAGCATCCTACCACTTAGCCTAACTCTTACCGGAGTTCGGAGGGCTTAGATGTGGTTGAAGTAGTTCTTCTCTCTTCCTCAAGGCTCATAAAATCTTCTTTATCCGGTTTATTAGCTCAACAGATGATTTTTTTTCTCAATTTGTGTATCGGCAGTGAGTGTAGCTTGGTCCATTAGTGTGATTTCACATGCTCAGTTGCAGAGACCTAATCCAATGCGCCACCATGTGGCGGAGATCATAACTACCGTTGTGTTCTCAAATAACATACGTGGGTCTAGTAACCATGTGGGTTACAATTAGTTTTTCAACAATTTTTCAATAATAGACAGGACAGGGTATCCAGGGTAATTAAATTATTGTCCAGCGTTCGACTTGTCTTTCCAGAGTATTTTAGAGCAGCACTTATGACATACAGAATATATGAGGAAATACAAACAAATAAAAAAGAACAAAAAACAAAACACAATGCCCCCAAGCCCAAACCCCCCTAAGAAAAAACAACAATTACAATAATAACGGTTTCTCTATTTTCCAGAAATTAGCCCATATTATTTTAGTATTTTACGTGGTTCAGAAAATACATACTCGAATATATAATCCAAAGTCGTCAAGTATACAAATGAAGATTATCTTAGGACACTGCAGGGGACCCACTATAACTATAACTCATCCCCAACAGCCGTCACATCCATGTTTTCTATATATTCCATAAAAGGACTCCAAATGTTTTGAAAAAGTGAAAGTTTCCCTTTTAAAATGAAAGTAATCTTTTCCATTGGTAATGTTGTGGATATTTCCTTAATCCAATTAATAAATTTTGGTTTACTGGTACTCTTCCATGAGAGTGCTATGACTCTTTTTGCCAGTAGTAGACATAAATCCAAGGCAGTAATAATATTTTTGGACATATGATGTCTGTCAGGATATAAACCTAGAATGAACAATTTGGGGTCAAAAACTAGTTTTAAACCCAGTATAGTCTCTAGAGCTTGTTTAATCTCCCTCCAGAATAGTTGAACTTTCTTGCATTTCCAAATACAATGGAGGAATGTTCCCTTCTCTTCTCCACATCTAGTACACAGGTCAGGGATGGCACCATTGTACTTATTAAGCTTTTCTGGCGTCACATATGTTCTCATTAGCCAATTATATTGCAATAATTTGAGGCGTGTATTGGTAGTTCGCGTTTGTGCTTCAGCACACGCCTTCTCCCAGTCCTCTGATGGCAAGTTCTCCTGTAAATCCTCCTTCCAAGCATTGAACTTCCCTAAAGAAGACTCATAGGATCCCACCACTAACATGCTATATAGTCTGGAGATAATTCCTTTTCTACAGCAATCTTTTTTCATTTCAATTTCCAAGGTGGACAGCAGAGGAATGGATTCATGTTGATTTTGAGATAATCTAATAAAATTTCTCACCTGTAGATATTTAAAATAATGTTTACTTGGGATATCATATCTGGCCTACAGCTCTTCAAATGACATCAAAACCCCATCCTCTGATTCCGCAAGATCTCCTATTGTCTTTAAACCTTTTTCAGCCCATATTCTAAAGCCAGGATCTGCCCTGCCTGGGGGAAAAAATTGGTTACCCCATATCGGACTGAGGCGTGACAAGGAGGAGTCACCTAAATACTTCTTAACCTGATACTAAACCAAGATCATATTTCTGATTATAGGGTTTTTTGTCTTTTTTTTCAGCATTCTGATTTTTGCTGAGTAAATGTACTGGGGTAGAGGAAGAGGTAAAGAACAATTTTCAATATTCACCCAAGGCAAGGGACATTTGTCTGTGAAGTAGTACATCATAGTCCTTAATTGAGCTGCCCAATAGTACCAAAGTGGATTGGGGCACCTGAGGCCTCCTCTATCATACGGTAGGTACAAAAGTGTTAAGCGAAGTCTTGGTCGTCTACCATTCCACAGAAAGCGTATGAAAATGTTTTTTAGGGACGAAAATAAGTTTGCAGGAGGCAATGGGATGTTCTGAAACAAATACAGAAGTCGGGGCATTATATTGGATTGAAGGGCATTGATTCGAGCTATAAGTGACAAGGGTAGACAGTTCCATCTGTCCACAGAGGCAGCAATTGAATCTATCATGGGGTTATAATTGGCTGCAACAATGTCATTTATATGTGGTACTATTCTAATCCCCAAATATGTAAAACAACCTACTTTTTTTAAGTTGGAAAGGATTCCCAACACTATTTCTTTCTTCTGAATTAAGTAGCATTAATGAAGACTTATCTTTATTTACTTTAGATCCTGATATTCTTCCAAATGTGTTTATTAGATCTAGCAAGGCTGGAATAGAGTCTTTTAGTTTGTCCAAAAAAAGAATGACATCATCAGCAAATAGAGCAATTCTATGTTCTTGTTGATTTATTGTCAAACCAGTTATGTTTTTATGAGACCGCACTGCAATGGCAAAGGGTTCTATTGCTAGAATAAATAATAAAGGTGATAAGGGGCACCCTTGTCTACAACCTCGTTTAATCTTAAATGATTTAGATATAACTCCATTTGTTACTATTTCAGCATAAGGCTCATTGTATAAAAGTTTAACCCATCGACAGAAGTTGTCCCCACAGCCAAATCTTTTCAATATCTCAAATAAATATGGCCATTCAACTCTATCAAAGGCCTTTTCGGCATCCAATGATAGCAAAGGATGGTCTGTTTTTTCTTCCATATTATAAATAATATCCAGTACTCGTCTCACATTATGAAATCCCTGTCTTCCTACAATAAACCCATTTTGATCACAGGAAATTATTTTGGGCAATATTCTCTTCAATCTTCGAGCCAGAATTTTGCAAAGAATCTTTAAATCGACATTAAGAAGACTTATTGGTCTTAAATTTTCACACTTGTTGCAAGGTTTGCCAGGTTTGGGCAATAAAGTAATCAGGGCTCCTCTTAGTGAGGCAGGAAGGATTCCCTTTTCAAACGAGTCTAAATACATGTCAAAAAGAGGGGCTAGCAATTTAGCTTTAAATTTCTTGTAGAATTCTGTCGGCAGCCCATCTGGGCCTAGGGCTTTTCCTGTTTTCAAGTGATCTATTGCTATAGATATTTCCTCTTTAGTTATAGCTGCACTGAGATCTGTACTCATTAATTCAGAGGTATTGGTAATTTGAAGGGTTTCTAAGAAAACATTTTGCTCTTGCTCCTTATGCATTATGTCTGAACTATATAATTTTTCAAAAAAGACCTTGAAAATTTCATTGATTTCTAATGGATCTGTAATAATCTGTTCCTCGTTATTTTCGACTTAAGTAATGTTTTTCTCATTTTGTAATTGTTGAAGTCGCCAGGCTAATAATTTCCCAGGCTTTTCCCCTTGATCATAAAACGACTGCTTGAGACGCAAAAGTTGTGAGGCTGCTTTTGAGGCAGAAAGTTCATTATACTGAGTTCTTAGAATCAAAAGTTTTTTATGGGTATTTGGGCAAAGCGTTTGATAGTAATCCCTCTCTAGCAGTTCAATCTCCGCTGCCAACTCTGTTGTGTTTTGATAAGTTTGTTTTGCCTTATAGCTCGTAAAGCTAATTATTTGACCCCTTATATAGGCCTTAAAGGCTTCACACCTTGAAGATGGTGGTGTTTCATCTGTATTAGTTTCAAAGTAGATGTTAATTTGATTATCTATGAAACGTATAAATGATGGGTCAATGAGCCATTTTTGTTTAAATCTCCACCTAGGAGGGTCTCTCCTTAGTCCTAAATCTTCATAAATAAGTGAATTTGGTGCATGGTCAGAAATTAAGATGCTATCATATTGACAATCTCTGATTTTATGTATCAAAATGCCAGAAATTAGAAAGTAATCGATACGTGAATATGATTTATGTGTATTTGAATAACACAAGTATTTTAGACTCTTGGGATTCATATCCCTCCAAACATCCATCAGGTTAAGTTCCTTCATAAAGTGTTGAATTGTTTGTCTACTTTTAGAGTGAGAATTGTCAGAACCTGAACTTCTGTCCAGTTCTGGGTTCATTGTGCAGTTAAAATCTCCTGCTATAATATAGCTGCCAGGCAAAGATGAAATTGTAAGGAAAAGATTTTGAAAAAACTTTGGGTCATCAACATTGGGGGCGTAAATATTTATCAGGTTTATTTTTTCTGCGATAAGTGTGCCCTGTAAGATAATGTACCTCCCAGCCTTGTCTTTAATAACCCTTGTCACATGGAATGGTATAGATTTATGAATCAAGATCATAACCCCTCTTGCTTGGGAAGTAAAGGAAGCTGAATATACAGGTGCTGGTCATAAAATTAGAATATCATGAAAAAGTAGATTGATTTCAGTAATTCCATTTAAAAAGTGAAACTTGTATATTATATTCATACATTACATACAAACTCATATATTTCAGATGTTTGTTTTGTTTAATTTTGATGATTACAAATGACAACAAATGAAAATCTCAAATTCATCATATCAGAAAATTAGAATATTACTGAAGACCAATAAAAACAAAGGATTTATAGAAATGTTGGCCAACTGAAAAGTATGAACATGAAAAGTATGAGCATGTACAGCACTCAGTATTTAGTTGGGCCTCCTTTGGCCTGTATTACTGCAGCAATGCGGCGTGGCATGGAGTCGATCAGTCTGTGGCACTGCTCAGGTGTTATGATAGCCCAGGTTGCTCTAATAGTGGCTTTTAGCTCTTCTGAATTGTTGGGTCTGGTGTATTGCATCTTCTTCTTCACAATACCCCATAGATTTTCTATGGGGTTAAGGTCAGGAGAGTTTGCTGGCCAATTAAGAACAGGGATACCATGGTCCTTCAACCAGGTACTGGTAGCTTTGGCACTGTGTGCAGGTGCCAAGTCCTGTTGGAAAATGAAATCTGCATCTCCAAAAAGTTGGTCAGCTGCAGGAAGCATGAAGTGCTCTAAAACTTCCTGGTATGTGGCTGCGTTGACCCTGGACCTCAGAAAACACAATGGACCAACACCAGCAGATGACATGGCACCCCAAACCATCACTGACTGTGGAAACTTTACACTGGACTTCAAGCAACGTGGATGAAGTGCCTCTCTTCTTTTCCTCCAGACTCTGGGACCTTGATTTCCAAAGGAAATGCAAAATTTACTTTCATCAGAGAACATGACTTTGGACCACTCACCAGCAGTCCAGTCCTGTTTCTCTTTAGCCCAGGCAAGA